AGAATGCACCTGTGTGTAATCAAGTCTCCGTATAAATGCACCTGCTCTTTGATAGTCTCAGGGTTCTGTTTAAAGCGCAGAGAGAACCATGAAGACAAAGGAACACACCAGGCAGGTCCGAGATACTGTTGAGAAATGTTGAAAGGTTCAATACTTTATTTACACTTTCGCAAGGCACGTTAACTGGTCTATCATAGCATTTCATACATAAAGGAAAACAGTCAAATTGCTTTTTTACATCAACAACAATGTGTTATTATACCTGTGTTGTCCAAATTCTGTGTTTCCTCAACACAACCTTAAATCCTACTTTGATTTCTTTCGTTTTCAGCGAGTAAATGATTGGATTGAGACAAGGCGGGACACAAGAAGCAAGTGACAAGCACAAAACCCGCTGGTCTGGATCGATACCTCCAAAAAAGAATCCATAGCTGTAAATAACAAAAATAGGAATGTAGAACATAGCTACTAGTATGACATGCTCCACACAGGTGCTCAGGGTTTTGATTCTTTTATCTACAGACTTCATCTTGAACACAGTTACTATTATGGATATGTAAGTCACAAGGATGAAAACAAATGGCACTATGATCAGTAAGATTGTCATAGAAGACGCCGTATAAAATTGTATTGAATGATCGTTGCACGACAGCCTGTACACAGGGCTGTAGTCGCAGAAATAGCTAAAAACCGTCACTGATTCACAAAACGACAGCCAAGTCATTATACAGACAGAAAAGCAAATCACTGCGAGAGTTAGGAGCCAAGTTACAGCCACAACAAAGGACATACTCTTGAGCGTGTTCATTGAGTGCTGTTGCATAGGAAAACAAATAGCAACAAATCTGTCAAAGGCGAGAATGGCGAGAGCACACGACTCCAGAGACGCAAAGGTGTAATACATGAACATTTGGACAAAGCAGAGGTTAAAGGGCATGAAATTTTCCTTTGCGAGAAATACTTGTATCATACCAGGGATGATGCTTGTGCTCAGGAATATGTCAATGACAGCAAGGTTGACCACGGCCAGGAACTTTGGACAGTGCATGGCGTTGTTGAAGGCAATGACATAGATGACCAGAGAGTTAAAAGTCACGGTTACGGCATAAACAAAAGCTAAAAAGACGAAGTAAACGCTGCTATAAGGTAACGTTTGGAATCCGACGATGTAGAAACCAGGCGGCTGGATGAGGACGGAGCTGTTCCAATTGGTTCGAAGTTGAGGCATAGTAGCTGTGTCCTCCTCGACACATGTGGAGCCTGAGGATCAGAAAGTAGACATTAACATTACTTTTAGACTATTGTAGTCTGAGTGAAGAAACAGAAACAAACTTAAACTTAAAACTCCATAGAAAACCAATATTAATGTTTTTCACAGAAGGTTTTAGCTATACACAACTACACAACAGTTAAATCCAAGATACCAAACGTTTTAAAAACAAATTCCATGGCCAGGCAAGGTTGTTTATATCGTAAGTAAGTATTTTATTTACTTACTTAGAATAGGGTTAAAAAGTAATAAAACATTTTAACACACAATGCACCACTACACCCTATATTCAGTGTTGTTATATTGTTTTTAAATTGCACGGTCAAATACAACAATGTAAAATATTAACTAATTCTGAACCTGTGTGGATTAGGTGAGCCTAATCACAAGTTCAGAACAATAAGAAGTGAATCAAGTATCAAAGTTCAACGTTTTCTTCATTGTCCCACGAGGAGACATTTGTTTTGAAGCAAGAAAACATATAAAAACAGACAGACACAAGAAAATCACAACAACAGTGAAGAGAGCAAGAATAAAAAAGTAAGAAAGTTGACACACAGATGAATAAATAAATAAACTAAATAAAAATAGAATAAAATCTCTATTTTTAGTTTAATAAAGAAGTTAAGTATAAAGTATATTCTTGGAATATGTATTGAGAAAATCCCAAAGAAATCTGAAATTACATGAAATTATGTAGATGTGTTAGATTTGCGAGCACACTGCAAAAAGGGATGAAAAATAAGCAAAATAATGCGCAAATTTTGCAAAATGTATCCTAATTTGATCCCATTTTGACTGCCTGAAAACAAGATTTTCCAATGGGACAAAGAAAATCTATGTTGTTTTAAAAAGGTACAAGAAATGTCCCTCGGAATGAGAAATAAAAGCAAAATGACATTGGAAATAAGACTAAATGACATTGTGCCAAAACTTTTTTTAAGACAGAATGACCTGAAATTGAAATAAAAACCACTGGATTCAAGCAATTATAACCTGATATTCTATCTTTTTTTGCAGTGCAGTACAGAATGCGAGCAGACAGAAGGAGAGCAAAGCCAGACAGGAGGAAAATACTGCACCTGAGCCTGAGCAGCGTCTGAACTGCTGCTGTCTGTGGAGCGGACGCCACAGTTATCCTCTCTCTCCAAAACCCCAAGGACAAGGATTTCAGCTCAGTCCAAAAAAATAAAAAATGTAATTCTGCAACTACTGAAAAAACAGCGTTATACTTTTGTGACTTTATAATCTCATACCCCTGTCCCTTATTGATTATCTGCACTGTTAAAGTCCTATTGCATGTGTAGAAATATAGATTTTTAATGCATCCCTTTATATCTATTCTTTTTTACTTTTTTTATAACTTTTTTGTACCTTATACCAAAGAAAATTCCTAGTTTGTGACTTCCTCTTACAGTACCTTTCATAAACTAAAACAAGGAGTCATGGCTCACACATGTTTGTTTGAATTCATATTTATTTCATTTATTATCCACATGAACATAATTGTGATGCAGGCTGTTTTCACTTGTACTTTTCATAGTTAAGGTTAGGGTTAAAATATGACACACTTTTAATTTGATCACCATTTTAAATCCAAAGTCAATGGATGGTTTAACCCATTATAGATTCATATTGGGATTTGCCAAAAAAATCTTTTATGGTGTGTTTTTGTTGAGTTTATTTGAGCCCTAATGACTAAAATCAATAACAGAAAAAATGTTTGCATTGTCTTTTACTAAGATACAGCCTGTCCTTCTGTGGGAGCGGATCTCTCTCTCAATGTGGGCCTCCTCAAGGTTTCTCGCTTTTCACTCCCACTGGATTTTTGTTTTCAGTAGTTCCTTGCAGATGCAGGAGGGTCTAAGGCCAGTGAGGACCTGGGACATTTAAGGACATTCATTACTTAATTCATAGATATTGGTCTTCACACTTCCTCTGGACCAATGGCTCCTACGTGTTTGTTATTATCACATTTCCTGTGTTCCAACTGTTTGAGACTTTGATGGCGATTCATCAACTTTAAAGAACTTCTCATCCCTGCTTCTCGAGGCTTACGTCACTCTCATTTTCTTTTCAAATATTCCTCCAAATGGGCGTAGCCTGGAGGACTAAAGGGGACAGGCGGCGGGGGGTGAATGTTGGGCAGGTCTAGGCTATTAACACTTCACAATTATCAATAATACAAACAGCTGTGCTAATATAAACCTACCTAAATGCTATAACTAATCGTAAACCTGACAATCGATGAAAATACTCTCTGCTATTCCTTCCTTTCTTCGCTAGGGGGGCGTGAACGAGACTGGACCGTTCATGCTCACTGGGCGGCAGGGCAACTGACGTCAAGTCTTCACTGCAGACGTCAGGTATCACTGCTTCAAAATTCAAATGTAGTAAATACAGGTCGCCTGCAGATGGCGCTTCACTGACGGTTTTATGTAAAAAGTTGATCTTTCAACTAATTTGCACTAAAGTGACAAAATTATGACCAGGATATGAACGCAACACTATTGGATCCTCATTTATACCATTTATCAGTAGGGTGAGTTGTCCTTTAAAGTCCATAGAGACGACTGCTGTTGCAGTGTTGCCAACTCCTCAGTAAGGAAAGTAGCTATTGGCTGTCCCAAAAGTCGCTAGAAGTCGCTAAATGACGTCATCGCCTAATTTGCATAATTTGCCATTTGCAAATAACTGTAACGGACGCTGTAGGAGAGAGGAATAAGGTCGTGGGAGAGACAAAAGTGAGTAAAAACACCCTAAATATGTTTAGAACTACAAATGTACAAAAATAATTTCAACATTAACAACATTTAATGATTTTAATGCTTTGTCTAGATCCACATTACACACATCAGTTTTGTCCTGTATTGTTAAATGTTATAACAGCAAATGTAATCAAAAGATTGTTATGTAGGGTGAAATTGCTAGCTCTACAACCAACCCTCCTCCTTTATCCGGGCTTGGGACCGGCAAAGTGACCCAAAAGACACACTCTGGCAGAGTTACTTAAGTTTATTTTTGTAAGTTTTTTTTTTTTTTCATAGTTTGGCATAACAAATGATTTAATGTGACCCACTACTGAGAGAAAACAGAGTCACGGACAGAGCTGCCGCGGATGGAGTGGGGGGTAGTGGGGGGTGGCGGTGGTAGGAGTGGCCGGGGAGCTTTGGATGTGTGGTGGTGGTGGAGCTGAAGTTCAGTCTGCAGCAGCCTGAAAACTCCCTGTGCTTTTGAGTCTCCTCTTTCTCTCTCTCTGCTCCGCCCATAGACTGTAGCTGGGACTGCTGCGCAAGGCTACTGTGAGACTGGCCGCCTGTAAGTGATTTGGGACGGGGGAGGGGCTCACGTTGAGGACAGCAGAACAATACGTGCTTCACGAGTCTCCAAAACACCAGATAAGTCGCCAAAACACCAGATAAGTCGCCAATAACACCAGAAAAAGTCGCTAGATTTGTCGCTAGTCGCTTTTTTGAAAAAAAGTCGCTATAGGGGTCTGAAAAGTCGCTAAATCTAGCGACAAAGTCGCTAAGTTGGCAACACTGTGCTGTTGTGATTTAGGGCTAAAAATACATTGAATTGAATGACTTGAATTATCACATGAATATAGAGAAGTGTTTATTATGAAAAAAAACAGGTCATACATATGTTGTGTTTGATGCCTTCAGTGTAGCAAATAATCAGAGCTAAAACTCTATGAAACTTTAATCTGGTTTTTTGACGTCCACATTCAGCTGGCAGAAGTCTGTTTCATTTGAGAAAGCTTTTTCTTAAGTTCTTCTTTCCGAGCTTGCTGGAAATCAGACATGCAGTCTTTAAATTTCTGGACGTGTTGTTGGCACAGCCTCCAGTCCTGGTGCTCGGCCATGCACTCCTGGACTGCGTAGTGTTGGTCTCCGCAGCCGGTGCGACTGATCATGCGGTCCACCGGGTCGTCCTCGTCCTCTTCCGGTCTCCCGCCGCGATTGTGAGCTGGAGCTGCCATCCAGGACCGGTTCAGGAAGTCTATACACCACAGGGAGGATACAGGAGTGAGTGATCATGTTGTTACTGTTGGGGGTTTCAATCACATCCAAAATCACATATTTAAAGAGCAACTTAACACCTGTGCCCAGCCTTACTCCGCCCACATGAAGATTTGAAAATGTTCTCTTAAAAGGGCGTTGCCTGGAGGACCAAGGGACAAGAAGGGGGGCTTAGAGTTGGGCGTGGCCTGGGCTGTGATTGACAGCTCACTTGTCACACAAAAAAAACAGACAGTTGTCATTGCTGCTTAAAGCAATAGTTTACAGACCAGAAAGTCTCATTCCACCCTTGTTTACACACTAAGATAATTGTAAAGCTACACACCTGAACCTAATCACACTCAATAATCTCAGAATGACTCGTGTAATTTAATTTTAATCCACTAGATGGCGCCAGAATACTCCAAACTGCAGCTGGGGCGTGTGTGAGAGTTGAATGGGTTCACATCACTGGCTCTGACAGACTGACGTCACACAAAACAACTGATGTCATAGAGAACTTCAGAGTCAATGAGAGGCCAGGACCAAATTCAAATGTAGTACCACCAAAAAGGTTGAGAGGGCGCCACACAGCGTTTTTTGGCTCAAAAGTGATATTTTATCTAATTTGAACTAAAATGTCAAAAAAATGACTAGGATATGTAGACAGCACTACAATAAACATATTTATGGAGTTTATGAGTTGAAAAAAGTTGATTTGGCGTTTAGTCGCTCTTTAAGCTACGTAACTACATAAATAGATGTGGTTTGTCATGAGAGAAAGTTTTCCTGTAAATGTAAAATTTTGAAATCATGTAGTGTTAAAATAAGCATATTGTTTTTTGCCCTGTATATCACTCTTGGGCTGAGATCTGATTGGCTCAGTGAGGGTGGTCCTCTCTTTCACTTTTCTGTCTCAAAAAAATTAATCTGAAGATATGACAGCGAGGCAAAAACCTGTATAAACAACAGAAATAGATACATTGAATAAATACGTTCATTCAATAATAATAATAAAACAATTCAAGTAAGGAACCCCAGATAGGACACTTATAGAAGAACTAATATTGAAACTAGATATGCATTAATTATTATTATTCTTAATTCTGAGCTCAAATTGGCCCTCTTCTGGGCAGTGTTTGTAGGACTGGGCCTTTCGATCCTGGGACCTCTTCTGTTCAATCTCTACATGCTGCCGTTAGGTCAGTTAATACGCAGAAACAAAGTTTCCTATCACAACTATGCAGACGACACTCAGATCTATGTCTCACTGACTGCAGGAGAACATGGACCAGTGGACTCACTCCTTCACTGTATCCAACAGATCAGTGAGTGGATGCAAAACAACTTCCTTCAGCTAAACGCAGACAAAACTGAAATGATTGTCTTTGGTCCCCAGAAACAAAGAGAGAGCGTCATCTGTCACCTACAGTCTCTCTCCCTAAAACCTTCAAACAAGGTCAGAAATCTAGGGGTAATACTGGACTCAGACTTAAATTTTAATAGCCACATCAAATCAGTAACATCAGCAGCTTTTTACCATCTAAAAAACATTTCCAGGATCAAAAACATAGTGTCTAAAGCAGACTTGGAGATTCTTATCCATGCATTTGTCTCCAGTAGGTTAGACTACTGCAATGGCCTGCTCACAGGTCTGTCCAAACAGGCTGTAAAACAGCTGCAGTACATTCAAAATGCAGCAGCTCGAGTCCTGACTAGAACCAGGAAGTACGACCACATTAGTCCAGTCCTCAGGTCTCTGCACTGGCTTCCTGTGGCTCAGAGAATAGACTTTAAAACAGCTCTGCTTGTGTATAAGTCTCTCCATGGCCTTGCACCAAAATATATTAGTGACATGTTAGTCCCATATGAACCAGCCCGGACTCTGAGGAGCACAGGGACTGGACTCCTGTTAGTGCCCAGAGTCAGAACTAAACATGGGGAGGCTGCTTTTCAGATTCATGCTGCTAAAATCTGGAACAGTCTTCCTGAAGATGTGAGACAGGCCTCCTCTCTGACAATGTTTAAAACCAGGTTAAAGAAAGTTCTGTTTAGCTGTGCATACAACTGAGGGATTTTATATTTGTATCTATCTTTTTAATGTTCTGTGATTATTTATGATTTTAATGCTATTTTGTTCAGCACTTTGAGTTGCCTTATGTATGAAATTGTGCTATATAAATAAACTTGCCTTGCCTTTAGATGCCGCTTGTGGCTATAATTACTGTTATTATAAACCGAACGGACAAGAAACATGCAACACGTCGCTAAAGAGAAAAGCACTTTAATGTGTGGATAATGTTCACCTTCAAAACATACCAGTTACAAAACAATAACTATTATGGAAAACAAAAGACAAACACGCAGCCACGGATCGTAAACACATTCTAGGGCCATTCAATAAAAGCAATGGTTATTTGTTGCAGAACACTCAATTACTGCCATTTACCTTTGAGGCGACACTGAGCACTGCGATCCCAACATCACATAACAGCAGGGGGACACATTAGGAACGAGTACCAGCGTAACTACCAAATGATTCCGCCGGCACAAGACAGCTATGGTTCCGCTTCTCATCATACACTCATTTTATTTATTCTCGGGAATATTCTGGTAAACACTTGAAAAGCCTGTAATTATGTTGAGAAGTCTTAGTGAAGCTACAGACATAAAAACATACAGAAACATTAAAAAACAAAAAACGAATGAATAAAAACAACCACTGCAAAGTAAATAGATAAAGACAGACATAAAATATTAGGCTTAATGTTTGAGTACATTTATTGAGATGATTAATAACAGATAATTAATGTACGTGTTATTTGTTTAAGCTCTTAATATAATTCCCTTTTGCGAATGAGGCAATGAAACATAGTATTAATGACCAAAATCATCCCTTCTTAATTAGAATCACTCGAGACACAAGCAAATGGTTTTCAGCCACAATAACACAATAAAACAATAAAAACTTCAACAACGAACAAGAATCCAAATGATGTAATACTTGAATACTGCTGTTGGCTGTTTGACAATGTTAAAGTTGTTCTAAGCTCTTAAATGGCATCTGACAGGAACGTATTGATTCATATTTATCGGAGCTGAAATTGCCTGAATGGTTTTCTTTTCACACCATCCGAAAGCACTTTGTGTGACCTTGGTCTGTAAAAAGTACTATATAACTAAAGATTACTTTCTTCCTTTCTCATTTACCGTCTACATTAGCACAATATGCAGTTGTGCTCCTGATCTCCATGGCAACATTAGGTTAGCAAGGCAAGACATGTCATGACCGTTATTATTATAGATCTATGGTTATGACACCGAGGGCTGGTTTTGGACGTTATGTGGTATTCTCGATACATTCACTATGCTTGACTTTTAAACTTAAATAACATTATACAGACACCATTGATAGACCATAGATTTATTTTAGTTAAAATATACAGTACACACAGGCAAGTTCATTTTTTAACTCAATTCCATTTAATTCATTTTTGTACATTTCAAAATAACAACAGCAGTCATCTCGGAGGATTTTACAAAGTTTTCAATGTTTTATAGCCAAATATCATTAGTTTGAATCTGTAGTATTGCTCTTATAATTACATGTGTGGACAAGCCTCTGCGAAATCAGACATTTCTGATGAAACAGCATGTAAACATTGCAGCATGCTCACTGTGATATAATAATATACAGAATACCTCACACTTTTAAAACATGTCGTTTAGTTTGAATAATGTCAAACAATCACGATATATATCATACAAGTTTATCCCAATGTTCTTTTAAGTAACATAGTAGGATTTCCCCAAATTTTAGGAAAGAACAGCCCACTCCAATATTTGAAAAACCTCTCTGGTCTTATTTGACAAGCACGCATCACCAGAATGATTGACAATTGGGAGGACCAATAGTTCATTTACTCATTCATTTTCAGGCAAACACAGGAAGTCCTGTTAATCCGCCCGGAAGTTGAAAATCCTTCTTTACACCTTTAAGCTAAACGCACTTTCACTTTTCTAATCATTTCCTTCCATCTTGTCTTTATCTCTTTGGTTTTCAGAGAGTAGACGATGGGATTGATGCACGGCGGAAAGCAGGAGGCCATGGAGAGAGTCAAAACCCGCGTATCTGCCTCTATCAGCCGCACATACAAACCATACACAAAAATCGTGAATATTGGCACAAAGAAAACAGCCACGACAATAATATGCTCTATACACGTCGCCAGAGCTTTCAACCTGCTCGTCTTCATCCTAAACACCGTCACCAAAATGGCAAAGTAGGACAGAATTATGAAACACAGCGGGAGCGTCAGGTTGATCATACTCTCGACCGATGCTAAAGTCCACTGGAGGGAGTTATCGTTGCACGCCAGTCGAAACACCGGGGCGTAGTCGCAAAAATAGCTGGAAACTTTGACCGAATCGCAAATAGACAACCGTGTCATGGCCGAAATGCTGTAAGTCAGTCTGCTCATGTTTAAAGTCCAGAAAAAAGTGGTTATACAGAACATGCTTTTGATTGTGTTGATGGAGGCTTGGCGTAAGGGGAAGCAGATGACAATGAATCTGTCGTAGGAGAGGATAGCCAGAAGAAAGGACTCCATTTGGGCAAAGTAATAATAAGCAAACATTTGAACCAGGCAGAGGTTATAGGCGATAAAATTGTCCTTAAGCAGAAAGACTTTGATCATGCTCGGTATGAGGCTGGTGCTGAGTAAGACGTCGACCAGAGCCAGGTTACCCACGGCAACAAACTTGGGCGTGTGCAGACATGGGTCGACGATGATGATGAAGATGAGAATGGCGTTGAAGACCACGGTGAGGAAGTAGATGAAAGCTAAAACAATGAAGTAGACGTTGATGTACGGAAAGGCTAGGAAGGCCACGATGTAGAAGCCGGGAGGGTGAATGATGCTGGAGGAGTTGGAGGTGATGGACATAGTGGCGCAAGAAAATCACCAAATCTGAAAGTAAAAAAACAAATTAAGGTATAAAAATGAGTGCCAGAGGTTTTTCCCTAAGAGGCTCTTAGTTTCTTGATAACTTAAAAGTGAAAAGAGACAGAGGCTTTATGGAAATTAGAGAAATGATAAGGATGGAATTATATGTACTCATCTAATTTGCATATCGTGACTCATATGCAAAAACAGAAATCTCCGTTTTGAAATGTTGTCCAAATATTGTGTTTCCTTAATCTGGGTGTATGCAAATGAAGGTGTCTGTTGCTGAGCCCGATCTTGACATAATCTGGACTGGACCCGGTTTTAAGAGCCCTTTAAACCATCTAATCTCGCTGAAGCCTGGTCTGGTGAAGATGTGTGTTTTTTTTTTGTTTTTTTTTGTTTGTTAATTAACTTATTATAAATTTTGTTTAATTATTATACATTTTGTTTATTTTGTATTTTTTTTCAATTTTATTTTTTAATACAATAATTTTTGAATTTAAGCAAAATGTAACTGGTAAATGTTACTACTAACAGTGGACCAGCAGCACACACAACCCTATTGCGGTGGATGTGGTTTCCAAAAGGCACTGGTTTAGGGCAGTGCCTCACGGACTTCATCCCGTGCAGACTGCATTGATATATATTGTAGGAACCAGAATGTTAATATGGTAAGGAAACAACCCGTTTGTGTGAATGAGTGTGAATGAGTGTGAATGGGGGTGAGGGTGGGAGGGTTTTGGGTTGGAGCACTAATTTTAAGTGTATCTTGTGTTTTTATGTTGATTTAATAATTTAAAAAAATAAAACAAAAAACAAACAAATATTGTGTTCCTATAGTTACAATCTTCGACATGTTCCGTTAATAGCAGTACACTTGAAGGAATTTGCGTAAGAAGGGGTGAAACTTTATGTGTATGGTACTAAAATAGATATGGCTTTTCACAAAACTACTTAGTAAAGAGAAAACTGTAAGCTTTTCCGATATGTAGTGGTGGCAATCGTGGATTTTCATTATCGTATTTCTTTTAATGACGGACACAGATCACTAGGACATGAACACACAAACAGAAATCACATTGTACCACACTCAAGGGTCAGGGAAATAGGAAAACAGTACAAATCCTTGTGTTGAATGAAGTTTGAAGGACTTTTAACTCCCAGCTTGACACAATCGGTCGTTTCCTGTGGCGCCTAGAGGGTTAAAAAACATTTATAGCGACTTATTGTGGAACCTGACCCATATTTTGTACTGTGGTCGACTGTTATAGTATATCTGTATCATTGCTTGAACATTATTATCTGATTATCTCCCACATTGTTCCTGCAGTATCTATATCTTAAGCATATATATCTTAAGTGTGTGTGTTTGACCAGTGGAAATGAGCAATATGAATGTAAAGTTTAAAAAAAAATGTGCACGTGAGGACTTTTATTTTGACCAAATGTAAACCGTAAATCCATGAACGTCTGTTATTTTTTATGTATATCATACCATCATAACGGGTGTAGCATTTGAGCTATAACCTGCTACAATGCATCTTTCCCTTTGAGGTAAACTAAACTAAACTAAAGCATTAGTCATTTTTATCTCAAGTGATGACATCTTCTGTTCTTACATTGGCACAAATAATTAAAAAGCCTTGACTCCTTTTGTACGATCTGGAAAGGACTCGAAAATAAACCCGGTACAGGTGGAAACGCCGCTGTCTTGTCTTCATTTCTCGATATTATACCTATATATTTTGTGTGCTTCTTGTGTAGAATCGATACAGATTCTCTCGTCTTAACTTTGTGTTTGTTTCATAAATATTCTGTATATATTGCATGTATAACATTTTTTATTTACAATTTAGACACAACTTTATCTTAGTAGAAAAAATGTAACCTTTAACATACTGAGAGCTGATTGGCTGAGGGTACAGTGTAAACCCTAACTTCAATTGTATTTCAGATATCAAAGTTATTTTAAATAGATTTTTCCCAGTAAGTAAATGTTACTCATTTATTGTTAGTTTATTTAAAGCCTATGTCATTCAGGGTTTTCTTTGAATTGAACTCTCTCTGTTCAAGTAAGCATCACTTTTGACATTTTGACTGAGTGGCTGAGTGGGTAGCACCATTACCTCTCAACTACAGGGTTCTGAGTACGAATCCCGGTTGGAGCACAAGCAGAAATTTTAACTTTATTGCAATCACTTGAGTTACTTGGTAATATCAAGTAAAGGATGTACTCGAGTAATTCAAGTGAAGTTAATACGCAATTTATTTCCATGGTTTTCTTAAGTAAACTTTACTTGTTAGGGTTTACAGTGTAAAGCTGATCTATACATTTTTATTAAGAACCACTTTTACTCTCTGGCTTTTAACATCGTGTGAGTTGTGCGGTCCTCTATTTTATTTATTTTATTGATGTTTTTGGCAGATTTGTATATTTTAATATGTTACTTTTATCTCTGCAGCACTTTGTAAGCATGTTTTATATAATGTGCTGCATAAGTAAAGTGGATTGGATTGGATAAATCAGGAATAGATGCAAAAACTAGTAGAGAAAATAACTTTTATATATATATTCTTTTACATCATTTTTAAGTTGTTTTAAAGTTCAGTTCTCCAGCTTTCTAGATTCAAATGTGTTATTGTCACATACACATTATATGCATTTAGATTTTTTTATAGATCGTCCATCATTCAATATTCACGTGTTGAAACAGCCTAGATTTTCCAAAGTGAATACAGAAACAAAACAAAATACAGAAATACATATGCACAAATATACAAACACATAAAAACCTGGTGTTTGACTGGACCAGGTGTGGATGGCTATATGTAATTCTCCTATATTCATCTTTTTCTTGTCAAACACTTTTCAAATACAATGTCTACAAAGTGATTCACAGTCAGCGTGAAACTAAACATAATCATTATAATATAAAACATGAAAAAGAGCAAAATTCAGACAGAAAGCGCAGGACCAGAAAGACAAAACAAAGGTGAGACCGGAACAATAAAACACATGCTCTCAAAACAGTTCAGCTCAATCACTTTACATTTTAGTTCAGCTTTTTTAGATAGAAAAGTGGAAAAGAGAGGACGACCCCTCGATCCGCCAACCAGGGAAAGTTTACGTGTGACTTAAACGCCGCACAATAAAAGTAGGTTTTTAACCCTCCAGACGCCAAAGTAGCAGAATTGCTCTTAAATCTATACAGTGACCTGGATTCCCACAAACACGGCCCTACATTTGTCACACATAATAATCCTCTATGTATTTCTATTATTGATGAAAGTAGTCCACAATCTCTGACTATTTCTCATGTATTTGTTTCTTATACGTATTGTCTGTTTCACATCACTCAAAAAACTTTGGCACATAAAGGGTTAAGACATGAGAAGACGCTGTGCCATTAAAATAAATACTAAAACACACAAAAAACGGAGAAAAGTTTTGACTCCCATCCAATTTTTGTGTCTCAGAAGAAAAATCTCCAATCTGAATCTTTAGATGACTCCTGGATGAACGAAGTATTACAGTCAACGTTTATGAGTCTCATTCTATATTATATCTCTTGCCATATCTTGACATTTTTTTTCTTGTTTCTTGAGGGGCAGGTACAACAGCAGCCAGCCTTCCCAGCGCCATGTTGAACTATAGTACTAGTAGTTGTAGTGAGTTGTAGAAAGTGGTCATGTATAGCATAGTAGTAATTTAAAGTATTATGAAGAAATGTGTGAAGATTTGTATTTATTCACGTTTATTCTATTCTCTACTTTAACTTGTTTGCACTAAAAGCCAAATTCCTAGTTGGTGACTTCTTGGTACTCACAACAGCAATAAAGGAATTCTGATTCAAACACAAGAAGTTACTGATCTGTATATTTAAGATAATAAAGATTTAAAAACAGCAACATTGTCTTATCTTAATCAAATTCACAAATGATAGATAATACCTACACAACCAAAGGTAAATTATGATATATTTTCTTAAAACTGGTTGCAATAATGACATATATAGTATTAACTGGATTCACTCACACATGCAACACATATGCACTGCAAAAAATAACAAAAAACAAGGTAATGAATGTTTGAAATAAGTGTTTTTATCATAATTTGAGCACATTTGGACTGTCTAAAAACAAAATTTGCCAATAGGACAAAGAAAAATATCTTGGTTTAAAAGGATACAAGTAAATTCAAGAAATGTCTTCAACTCATTGCAACTGCACTTGAAATAAGTCTAAATGTCTTGTTCCGTTGGAAAATCTTGCTTTAAGACAGTCAGAATGTAGAATAGAATAGAATAGAATAGATCTTTATTGTCTGTTCAAATTGAGCAGAGATTTGTCTTTCAACACGGCACAATTCAGAATCATTCATAAAACACACATAAATGTAACACACATGTACTAAAATTAAGATAAAAACCCTTGATTCAAGCATTTACAAAACCTTATATTTATTCATTTTTTTTGCTGTGCGGTAACTATGGCAATAATTCATATTACCAAAACATAGATTAGTTATAGATGCATTTACTCGGTCTTATGAGAAGCTCACCTGATCCTGCTTCTGTGTGTCCATCTGGATCCGTCTGAAGCCTCGGCCGCTGCTCTCACAGATATAGCCTCGACATCGATCCCATGAGCAATACACTTTAGAGAACATCCATGAACATCATTACCCAAAAGTTTGTTTGTTTTTTCGAGAGTTCACTTTTAATTGTTATGTCTTTGTAAAGTCTAGCCTCATTGACATCACTTGAGCTTTGAGAAATAGTTAGAATGTGTTTTACTACCCACAAAATACAGATTATGAATAAGAAATGTAAGAGGTTCTACAATAAGAGCGTGTGGGAGTTAAATATTTATGTTGGGAAGTGCCACGTATAAAGTGATATTAAGGTACTTTGGTGGGAGATTCTATAATTGTTGAAGAAAAGTTTGAAAAGAAGCCGTCTAGACCAAGTTTTCTGCTGAGAAAAGTTTCGACTATG